AGAAATAGTGGGTATATTTTGGACTGGTCTCCTAAAATTGACAAAAGGCAATGGTGCAAGGGTATTACCATGACTCCTGGAGGATTTATAACATCTTGACCTTCAGCAAAGGTGGCATTCAAAAAGATGTTTGGTGCTTAATTGCTGCCTCAGAATTCTTTACTGACAAACCTTTACCAGATTTAGTAGGCAAAAACTAAATAACAGGAGGGTTCCTGTTATGGCCTATGGGCCTGTGTTCAATCTCCTGACATTTTAATTACTGGAAATGTGAAAGTTAAAAGAAAGGATAATAGATATCTTGTAACATGTAATAAATGTAATTTAACAAACTGTATCACCAGATATAATAGAGGGAAAGGAACACTGACACTTCATCAGCCCTCTTTTGTCTCATTGCCAGCTAACATTTTAGAGCTGTGGTATGCTGATGCTGGTTTTCATGTCGATGCTTACAACAATTTACATGTCCAGCTAGTGAGACCTAAATGTGCTCCTGGACTCTGTAATAGTGGGAGTTGTTGCTTTAGTTTCCCTTATGGCTTCAAGGGTCACAGCTTCAGTGGCCCTATCTCAAAATATTCAACATGCAAATTTTCTTAAAATTTAGCTTAGAATACTTCCAAGGCTCTTCATAATCAAATAAATATTGATGAAAGGATTGAGGCTAAGTTAAATGCCTCAGAGGCTACTGTCATAAATATTGGTAATGGACTTTCAGCTTTGAAATTCAAGGAAAGACTCATGTTAACTATAAGTATGTGTATGTTACTGCTGCCAAGTACAATGCTTCCCAATGGGAATGGGAGGTTAAAAACCATGTTAGGTATTTGGTAAAATAATAATAACAGCATGGATCTTTTGGTGTTACATCATCATATTCAAGATATACAAAAAAAGTAAGATTGATTTTTCAGATCTTACTTCTTTAGATAATCAAATACTTAAAGAATTGAATGAATTTAACCCTGGTAACATTCTTACACATTCTGCATGGTATATCCTTGTACTGTTCTCTTTGCTACTAATTCTCTCTTGTATTCTAATTGTAGGATGACCARCCTTTAGAACAAGAATTTGGGGACTTGAAATAGTGACCCATCACCTACTTTTTCAAATTAAGAAGGGAAAATATGTGGGAAGCTACTCTGAATGACCCACACCTTCCAGTACTGAAGCAAGAAGCTCTGACCAATCACTACATTGGTGGTGACTTGGGCATTGGTGTGTCTTTAGATGTAGGTGTCACCACTGGGGTTGAGTTACACTCACCTGTCCCTTGTAACCCTGCCCCTTCTAGCCTTTTTGGATAGAACTTTCTAAAGAACAAGAGTCCCCCCCAATAAAAGCCCACTTCCAAAGGTACTCACTCTCTCTCACCAGCCTCTTGTGACTTTCTCTTGATCTCTCTTTTGGGGATCCTGAGGCTGATAGCGAAGAAGCCATCCTAAAGCTTGTTTAAAGGTAAAGGGTGTCTGTGTTTTTATTTGGTGTCCCTACAAATTCATACGAGTGATCTTAAGTTCAGGTGCCCACACAGGTTGGGGGCAACAGAGATCCTTTTGCCTCAGCCTCCTGAGCTGCTGGAATTATAGGCATGTGTCAACATTTTTGGCTGTGGTAAACTTTTGAACATGACTTGTATATATTCCAGTGTCTCATCGGAATAAGAACTTTGTTTTTTTCCTGTGTGGTGGCAGGTGCTTCTGTTTCTGTGAAGACCTAAAAAGGGACAGGTGTAATCTGGAGTATCTCATAAGGACTCAGTGGTAGAGGAGTTTGGAGAGATATCTCTTTTCTATTAGTAATTGATTGTGTATAAATACCATCTTTTTTACTCATCCAACTCCTGATGAGCACATAGGTGGAGTCTATGTCTTGACTACTGTGAACAATATTTGCACTGAAGCAGTAGTAGAGCTTTCTCTTCAACATGATGATTTAATCTCCTCAGGATACCTATTTAGAACTTGTATTTCTGGATAACAGRGTCATTCCACTTTTAATTTTTTTTATGTGTGGTGCTTAGGATTAAGCCCAAGGGTGTGATACTATTGACTTACTACACAAAACCCTTTAAGCTTGCTAATTTTGAGACATGATGTGACAAGCATCTTACATGTTCTCCCTATTACCTGGGATTTCAAACATGTAGCACTGTGCTTCCTGTTTTTCAGTTCTTTACTAACTCCCATATTGTTTTCCAAAATGACTATTAATCTACTATTTGCTGGCTGTTATATGGACAAATCCAAAGTTGTACAATACTCAAGGAAAAATGGAGACTTGGCTAATCAAAAGAAAAAGTTATGAACTAACTAAAAGACCTAAATAGCCTTGTGAAATAAGTTTAGTTTAGTGAAATAAATGAGAACACAGAAAACTGAGTAAAATTCAGATAAAAAAAATCATTACTAGACACAAGCAAAAATTGTGTACTTGAAGGATTTCTTAAGAAATAGTGTYTGAAAGAGTGGGTGGGGGTTAGCAAATTGGGAGAATGAGCCACAGGGGCCAGCCTCAGCAACTTAGTGAGACTGTCAAAAATTAAAAATGAAAAGGGCTGAAGAAAAGAACAATGGAAAAACAACTGAGTTCAATCTCCAGTATCAATTTTAACAGTCTGAGAAAAGATAAATATGAGCAAAAAAAAAAAAGAAGTCAAAATTAAAGAAGTTCAATTATGTCTAAGTAGAAACAAAAAGATACAAAGTGCATTGTACTCAATTTTTCAGTGATCTCAAAGASAGAATCKTGAGAGCACCAAAAGAAAAATGTGCAACTGAGAAGGGTAGTTGAATATAATTATTAGTCAATTTATTAATGGAAGCCTTGCAATACAGAATGAAACAGGAGAATAGCATCAAAGGGGTGATAAAACAAACTTCCCAACTGAGAATACTATAACCAGAAATACTATACTTTAACATGAATAAAAATAAAGATTTTAAATATGTATAAGTGCACCCAAACATTATAACTACTTGACCTCTTTTTCAAAAAATAMTAAAGTGAATTATTCATATTGAAAAATGAAATAAATGTGCACAGCAACACAAGTCATATAAAATTTTAAAACTTTCATTGTAAGGAAAATTCATGTACCGATATAGAATTCAATTTTACTGGACCAATGGGTCATAGAACACTTTTTCTATAGAATTTAAAGTATAAAAACATAAAAATCATCATAAACCTCTAAATATATATGGAATATAAAAATAAATGTGTCATCAATAACAYAATTTTCAAAGGATACATAAATATAATAAATTTTGTTATGAATTGAAGTCAACTTGTTGCCAGTTAAAAACCTAGTGTAAGTTTAAAATGATTTTTAAATTTTTTTTTATTATTAGTTGTTCAAAACATTACAAAGCTCTTGACATATCATTTAAAATGATTTTTATAAAATATCAAAGTAAAAGACAAAATACTCATAGAATAAAGGGAAGTGAAAGAGGAATCAATTAATGTCATGATAACAATCTATGGACCACAAGATAACCCAATTAAAAAAGAAGGAAAAGAGAATTAAAGGAAGCAGAGGAAACAAATAAAAAGTTACAACTATATGCAGATTATCAGAGACTAAACCTAAAGATGCAATTTGAAGGCAAAAGTGTATAGGAATATTGCACACAAAAGTGATCAGAGGCTGGTATGAAAATGRTTATCGTATGTGCAACATACTTTAAAACAAAAACTTATGAGATACAAAGTATTTTATCTCAAATGTAATTTTATTGGCAAAAGAAAAAAAATAAAAATTAAATAAAAATAGAAGCAAATATAATTKTATTGACAATGGAAACAAAAATCAAACATAATTTCATCTTACATGCCCTAATTTGTGAAATATTGGAAATGGCCATCAAATTATAAAGTGTAGGTTAAAAAAATAGAAACATTAAATGAGGGAGGAAACCTACAGTACAACTCAAAATCTACTGTATAAAATGAAATACAGAAAAGGAAAAAATAAAAAGAAAATTTAACTAGCAAAATTCAGAACAACCATTGATTGATTATTGTGCAAACCCTTTTATATAACTGTAGTTATCACCTATGACCATATAAGCAAAATGAGCAGTCATTCACTAATGACAGAAAAGTTTCACAGAATATTCATTATAAGTATTCATAATGAGCTCTGATAAGGAAATTTCAAATAATAAAAACATAAGGATAAAAGAGAAACTACTTTCTGATACTACTATATTTTAATAAATTCACCTATAGGTCTCCAGAAATGTGCAGATTTCTGAGAGACATGTCAAATGATGAAAATGCCATCAGATCATGCTGACCTCATAAGCAAAGGGGAGTGCTTGGGCTGTTGATTTGACTCAACACAGACATCCATGGAGAAGAAGGAGGAGATTAAAGAAGAGGAAACCTTGCTCAATATAGGACAGTACAAGAAATAAACCTAAGCTCCTGCAAGACCATTTCTGTGGCATAATAACTTCTCCACCAATATTTGAATTTGGCTTCCTCCTTGCCTTTGGACCTCTCAATTGTGTCCTCTGTTTCATGAATTTCTGCCCACCTGGGTACATAGCTCAGGGCTCTCTTCTTTGCACCAGGGGARGGTGTCCAAATACAGCTTAGAGGCAATGTGTTCATTGGAAAATGAATTGACTATTTCTTGGGATTATTACTGAGAATATTGATGCTTCTATTCTATCTATAAAGGGAAGAATTTGGATTTTGACATGTAGGTCACATCATTCTATATCACTGCATTTCTATAAGTACCACGAATTTTAAGAGAAAAGTATACATCATTTCAGGAAAAAGAAAGACTAAGGACTGAAATAAATGGCATTAACATTTTCTTCTCTGTAACAAAAATTGCCCAATCCTTTTTCTTGAAAGCAAGAATTTGAAACTCATTCATGAAGAGCAGAAATGCCCAATAGATATTCTGCAAGGTATGAAAATTATACAATTAGGAGTTCTGATTTATTTGGAATTCTGAAGGGAACTCTGCTCACCAAGGAAGACCAGGTTTCTGTAGGTCTCTAGCATCACTTCTTTGTATAAGTTCCTCTGAGCAGGCTCCAGGCATTCCCATTCCTCTTCAGAGAAATCAAGGGTCACATCGGTGAATGCCAACAGTTCCTGAAATAGGAATAGAWAAATTAAGAGCACATTGACCATTTGATCATTCACAGAGCTTGAAAGTTGGCTGAAGATGAAATGATAGTTAGTAGACCTGGCTCTTAACTGGTAAGTGTTGTTTATTATTCAAGAAAATACTTCATAATAGTGATTTTCTCTATTATAAAACTCTKAGAAAAGAGTGTCACAAATCCACAAAAAAGTTTTTATACTCTAATTTTACAAAATAAAATGAAAAACTAAGGCATCATCAGAGCATATTCATTTTAATTGTGAATTTATATATCATATGATAAATTGTCTATTTCTCACAGAAGAAAATTATGGTGAGAAGAAGGGTGATTTTAAGTGCACAACCATTATATAAAATGAGGTTAATGTCTGTGAACTGCAGGTAGAATAAAATGAAAGCCTACAGGACTGTGGTCTATTTCAGGACCTCCAGTAATAGAGCCAATGTCTGTATGAAACAAAAGGCAGCAGAGGTTGCATTACCAAAAACAAGCCACAAAAATAAAAATTACTAAGGAAAAGAGTTTCTGTTTCAAATATGATGGTTTATGTAGATTATTTAGAAAATCCTAACAAAACATCTCAAGTCAAAGACAAAGAAATATAACATTATAGGGAAAATGTGGCAGACAGCATTTAAACCAAGCAAATAAGGTTAAAAGAGTTGAAGAACAAACAGAACAAATTGGTACAAAGTGTCAGTCAATATAAAAGGACACATCATCACTGCTGTGATGTCTGTGGCCAAATCAAAACTAAATGACATAATAAGTATTTCAGCAGACTTTCCATGGCATTGTAGAGATTGAGTCTCTTCTAATCATTCTGTTCTTTTAGGACTTACTTTGTTATTAGGGGAAATGAATGTGCATTTTATTAAGTTTTGTTTATTTATAGATAGTGGAGCATCCAGATGGAATGAAAACAAAGCAGGGTTCACTTCTTCTAATGACCCAGAAACATCCTCAATGGGAATCTARGATACCAAGACAATCCGATGTTCATTTATCAAAAAGAAAACCTTTTGAATCCCGCAGGTCACGTATGCCTGGCCTGGCTTTGATGAAAGTAAAAGAACAGAGGGCTCCTGATATAGGGGGGATATGTGTACCATATATGTTTTAAACAGAGTTCAAGTTGACTGTTGTGATAAGAAAGTGAAGCAAAGTGGATTTAAAACATGTTAAACACAATACTAGAACAGTGCAGAAGTAACAGTCTGCATATTCCATAGTARTTTGGGAGGAAAATTCAATGCTGCCCCTGACCTAGGAAACTCCTGGAAAACAACTACATCTTCCTCCTACTTCTCTAGGCTTTCTTCTCAGGAATGATTACCTACCATTCAAATCCGTATCTGGAAAATATGGGACTTATTAAAAAAATGAGTCCCAAGGATCTTCCTTTGTAAGCTCAAGATTACCTTAACTACTAATCACTGAGCTCAGACCTCTCTGCTTTCCAAATTTATTTATTTAGTTTTAGATGAGAAAGAACCACTACCTAAAGGTAAAAGTATTCATACTCAGAGGGATTTTGTTTTCTGGTTAGGAYTGAATTCAGGGACTGTTTACAGATTTACCACTAGCAACATCTTTAGTTCGTTTTACTTTTTGAAACATGGTGTCCCTAAGCTTCCAAGACTGATCTAAAATGTGCAATCCTCCTCCATTAGTGTCCTGAGTAACTGGCATCTCAGCCATGCATCACCCACTATGCGTGGCCAAATTCCAGTCCATGGGAGGCAACAAAAGTGTAAAGAACTTACATTTGCCCCTGAAATGGAAAAGCATCCATCTTTTTCAGAAAGTATATGTAATATTTGGTTACTATCTCCATGATRACCATTTACTAAACAGAAATCATGTGAATAATTCTAGGATTTGCCAAATCTTATCTCACATGATTCAATATTAATCTCTAATATTCAGATGATAAGATCTATGACAAGTTGATTATCACATGTCTTCATGGATGAGGAGGTGATAGCTTGGTCTATATGAAATTCACCAAGGCAGCTACCAATCAATTTTTAAAACCTACATTCATTTCTCTGCCACCATAATGGTAGATTTTTCCTATTCATTATTTCTCGTAAAATTTCCAAAGCTAAGCCCTGAAATTCCACTTGAAATCACTTTCCAAAACACAGAGCACATGGGAATCCCATGAGGAACCCTCTGTAGAAGAATAAATGCAAATAAAACATTTAAATAAAGTAACATATGTCTGATTTTTTTCCTAAAATTCAACTTTATCCTGCAGTATTGGATATATATTTTTAATTTGAAGACTGATAGTAAAATACATCTTACAATTAGGGAAAAGTTGAAGCTGAAGTAAGTAAAGACATCTTTTGAAGGTGACAAGCCTGGGAAGAACCGTACTGAATGTAATATGGACAGGTCAGACCCAAGGTTAAAGTCAAGGCATCCTGACACTTTGGACATTCTTCATCCCCATTCTTACTCACTGAAGTACATTGTGGTTTCCTGTACACCCAGAGGGTGTGCGTTTTTTAGAATACTCTCCTGGAACTCACAACTCAAAGAAAATGTATAGAGTAGAACCAAAATTCTTTATTACCCCCACAACATAATTTATAGGCCATCAAAATCTCCATATAATGGAGGTTAAAGGAAAAATATTCATGTTACAAGGGGTTACAATGTAGATAAAATGATAAAAGAGGTTCCTCTAGGCCCCAGGTCAATCAGTGTTCCCCCAAGTCTCTACCTCAATCTGTTTTCTAGAAATAGATGATCAGGAGGCTGATGGTCAACAGACAATCTAAGAGAAATATCCCCATGGGTACCAAGTGTCATCCCAGACRGTTCTGAAATCCAGCACCAGGGAAAGAATAGGACACTGGATAAGGACATGCCACCTAGTAAAGTTTCTGTTGTACTGAGCTTTCCACTAGTGACATAAATATCTAAAAGTCACAACTTAGGAGTGGAAACATTTATTTCAGCTCACAGTTTCAGAGCACTCAGGCCATGGTAGTCTCACTCCAAGACAGAARCATCATGGAAGAAGAACATGGAGAAAAGCTGTTCAGCTCATGGCAGCCAGGCAGCAGAGAAGGAGGAAGGTGCTGGGAGAAGATGATTCTGTTCAGAGCTACCCCAATGATCTATGTCCTCCAACTAGTTCTCTTCCCAATTRTCCAGTCAGTTGTTAGTGGACTGGTCCAAAAAAGAAGTCAGAGCCCTTATGGTCTACAAGCCCATCTCTCCACCTTGCTGCAACTGGGGGCCATGTTTCAACACATGAAATTTTGGAGACATTCCACTTATAAACCAGAATACTTGTCAAAGATATGGTGATAAGATGAGTGTGCCTAGGGAAGAAAAAAGAAGGCACAAAGATTTTCAAAAGCAGATCTGGTGATTATTCTCTGCTCTCAAACTATGTGAAACATTAACCTAAAAACATACATTTTCAAAAACCATCATCCATTACTTAGGGGTAAATGACAATTAAGATACAGCATTAGCTTCAAATATTGCATGGGTAAAAATTGTTAATAATCCTGTGATCTGCAAATGAAAAAAAATGATATTTTGGAATCTGTAGAGGAAACTCAAAAATAAAGAATTTTTTTGTCAGCCCTCTGAGCAGCTAAGTTTTGAGATCCTATCTCTCATATTGTGGGAGAATCAGAGAAAATAAATAACCCTGGGGAGAAAGGAAAAGCTGATTTGTGATGCCAACAAAGCTCCTCCTACACAAAGACCACATCCACCAAATTGGCTTCTCCCAATGTGATGCTCTGTATACTCTGACAAACTGTGAAGACACAGAGATGTCAAAAGATGGCTCTTTGCAATGACAGATGCCCACACTTTTCAGCTGCTGGCTGTTCTCCCACCCYATGGTCCAGAGAGGTCAAAGGGCTATAATTCCATAGTAATGAACTTAGATCACCTGAATCTTGCTCTACTTTTAGGCAGGATATTTTCCCTCCACAGCTGATTCTCCCTTTTACAAAAAAAAAAAAAACAAAAAAAAAAACAAAAAACTGCAGATTCTACATTTTCTGACATTTTAGATATTCCAGCACTATTTTTAGATTTATTGTATGACTGGGCCTCACAAGCAGAGGCCATTCCAGAGCTCTAGAGGCATTACACAATTTGATGAAACTGTGGAAAGACACCCCTTCTTCTCTTACTGCAGGCCTGATTGGAGAGTTTCCTCCCAGAATCCATGAATGGAGAGAGGCCCAACACAGGCACAGAGTTCCAGGAGGTGCAATCCAAACCCTGGCTGAATGATGTCAGAGTGGCACMATCTTGGCCACAGCTTTTCTCAGCAAGTTGCTTGCTCAGAAAGAACTTTTGCATCTTGGCACAGCTTCACTCTAGGCTTCAGGAGATACCAGAACTGTCCCCTCCTTCTTTACTGGGCTACTCCTGCATCTTTCTTCTACACAGGGAGTCACAAGTGTGCATGTGTAGTATTATAACTCAGTTGATGCAGCAAGCCAGCTCTGGCCTCAGCACAGGAGAACAGCAAAAGCCAAGCCTGGCTACACCAGCAAGGAGGGAGCTAGGTAAGGCTAGTGTCTGCATGACTAAGGCTTCTGACACTTTCTCTCTCAGTCTATTTCATCACAGCAAAAATAAATAAATAAATAAATAAATAAATAAATAAACAAACAAACAAACAAATAAATAAATAGTAATTAACCCCTCCAAATACAATTATTAAGCACATATACAATTGTTGTCATACAGCAGTAATATTTTTTAAAAATGAGTTCAAAGCAAGAAAACACATATTTTAGCTAGCTCATGTAAGGAGTCTGCATGACCCACATTTCAAGAAGCCAACCTGTTTAGAGAAATAAACCTGTATGCAGAGGATAAACCTGTTTGCAGAATTCAGAAGCTCTGGAGACAGATGGATGGATGACATGTATCTCCAGAATGATTCAGTCTCTGGAGGAGAGGTTTGGAAATCCAAGGATTTAACTCT